TCTCCTCAGACAGAACCACTTAATTCCTGAAAGATCATGACAGCTTCCTGCCCTGAGCTCAGACAGACCTTCCCAATAGATGTTATTCTGCCTAATCTTTCTGAGCCTGTTTATGCTACAGGTGCATATATTAAAGTACATACCCACAACCAGCACAATGATCCTTCTCACTGAGGGGGGGGGGCGGGGGGGGGAAAGAGAAGCCTTTTCTCTCATTACTCTGAATCCAACCTACTACTCTGTCTTCTCTAGGAGTGTGTTGCAAATACTAAGTTTTGCCTGTGAAAAGCTCCTGGGAAATGGGAAGAATCATTCTTCCCCTCCCTTGCTGTTCAATCTATCGAGCAGAGCGAGGGAGGCATCAGGATTTGGGCTGGAAGGGCCCTGTTGCTGCAGGGACCGGGCGAGGCACTCAGCACAGGGAGAGAGGGGAGGGAGGGTCCCACGTGCTGCCTCGGGAATGGTTGCCCACCTCGGGACAGCCCAGGATCCAGGAGCTAAGTCCTCAAACATGAGAGACAGTAATCCGTTTTGGCAGGAAGGAATGAAGGACTGAGATGGAAGCACACATCCAGGGAAAAATAGGAACTTCCAGGACCATTCTTTTTTAACTAGTGATTTGTTTTCGTCTTCTTTAGAGTAACATCATCAGTATTGCAGCCCAGAGGTAGGCTCCTAAATCATAAAGGGGTAATACTTAAGATGCCTCATTCTGTTGTATTTCCTGTTGATTTGATAAGCTTCCTTTGCTCAGAGCTATTTTATCACTTGAAATGTTTTGACTTCTCCTAAACAACTGTGTAACTCCGTGAATACCATTCTTGACATTCTGGTCTTTTTCTCTTTGCTTACACATAGCCATTTCTAGCTTGGACAAGGATGCTTTGACTCAGTATTTGGTTTTCATACACTAGCGAATACTTCCCTCTGCAGGAAACTCTAAGTCAATAGCAGCCCTAGCCTCTGGCAATGTGAAAAAAATGTTCAGGGCCTGAAGTGGGGTAGCTCAGATACAGAAATGGGTACTTGTTTCTTGGCAAGCTGCCCCTAGGATTATGTTAATGTTTTATGCTAAGTTTTCCATCAAGGTATTTCCATTGACTTTCACATTGATTCTGTTTTTCTTTTTCCCCAGTGGATTTTGACAGCACATAAATAATCTTCCATTATCCATGCAGAATATTCTAACACTGGTGCTTACATATATTACCCTCCTTGGATTGTCAAAGGAGAGAGGGTCATCTTTCATGTCAGTCATACCCTGCCCTGGCTTTCTAAATGAATTTGACTTCCTACCTATCCTGAACTGGAGCAAACAGACCAGCCGCCGTGAGCTACCCTCTGCCTTTGCCAATGCCTCTGGTTCCTGCACTGCTTAACTTCAATTTCTGATTGTGCCAATTATTGCGTGACAGTCAAACTTTCCCCTCCCCATCTAAAAATCACAATATTATGTCTTCTTTCTGAAGCACCACAGGTTTTAAAATGCAGAGTACAATCACTACTGTTTGATCTCCAAGCCAGTACTGCACTCCGTGGTTATTACCCTGGATTATTCACCTCTTTCAAGTCTAAAGCTTTTGCCTGTTGGCTTAGTTAAAAGCATTGCTGCATTCTCACAACAACACAAGACTGGAACAATCTTGGTTTTGCAGGATTCTTTTTGAAGGTATTTAAGCGTCCTTGTACTTCAAGCAGTACGTAAGATTTTCTTTCAATTCCCATGAGCAGGTATTTGCATTCTAAAGTCCTAACAATTTCACCTGGTTCAACAGTGGCCGCATCATTTGATTGTTCTATGGCTGTTATTTACATTTTTGGAGACAGAAAAGCTCCTTTTCAAGTAAAGGACCAGCCTCACAGAAATTAAGCCCTTCTGCAGGAAGGCCAGAGCTGCGTCAGATGGCTGGAACACCATTTAAACAAAAATGAAGCCATTACTCAGGTACATTTAAATAATTCTTGTCAATTAATGCTTCCCCCCCCGTAGTTTGTCAGTGCCTGGAAAAGGCCTGCCCTCAGCCCCTGCCTGGTGGCCTGAGTGCTGCTTTCACGTGGCAACCAGGCTCTGCCCCTGGAGCAGGGTGTTAGTCCTGCGGTGCGGAGGGCAAGGCTTCTTACCCTTCCCAACTCCCAAACGGAGTCGTTTTACCCTTCCCGACTCCCAGGCGGAGGAGCTCAGCCCCAGACGCTGCGGCACAATGCTGTCGCATCGTGGCGCCTCGGAACAGCTTCGTTAGCATGGTGGGAAAACTCTGAGGGGTCAAGGAGCTTTGACTGACTGCTTTAAACCTTTTCTTAGCAGTTCTGGGGCCTATTAGGGCTCTCTCTAACTGCAGGAAAAGTTATATTTAAGACTGCTGGATCTTTACCTGTTTTCCTTCCTCTGGTTAGACCATGAAGAGATGCTAAACTGATCATTCTGTTAGCACAGCTGCTGTGCATAAGAAATTAACTTGAAAGGCTTCTTGGGGATTGCTTTTACCTCAAGAGTATATGTTAACCTAGTAACTCCCAGCAGGTTTGCTTTTTAATACCATTTCCTATTTCAAAAAAATTCCCATTAATTTAGTAACTCTTGTTAGTCATCTTACACAGGACACAAGGTCTCCATGATAAACAGCTTTAGTTCTCCCTATCCCATCTACTGGGGTTTTTTTCCCTGAAAAAACAGGGGTTGGAAGCCCACAGCATGCTTGCTCAGTAACACTGCCTTTACCATCTGTCACCAACCACAAGTTGTAACATTTAAACAAAAATAAAAACAAGCAAGCAGATAACAAAAGGTAACTAAGAATAAGGACCACCTTTTCTTATTTAGGGAAAGTTTTTAATGCAGTGAGTTTAACACAAAGGAACAAAACTTTGTTTCACTAAAGTCAGTGACTTCTACTTTCAGCACTTTTAGTTTCTACAGCAATTATAGAACAGGATGGCATACGGATTCACCTTTTTCAGTTATACAACAGTACTGTCAAAAATATGCAACACCATGTTCTCCCTTTGACACAACATTTTTAGAAGAAATACACGTTTCATTTTTAGAAGAAATACACGTTTCAGGGTTTTTTAAAAGGTTAATAAGCTCCAGTGAGACTTTTATAAGTATGAAAAATATGCTTGCAATCCTGCAGATTGATTAGAGATTTCTAATGATGTGTTCTAAATAAACTTCAAAACCCCTGAATTATAGCTACTGAGTGCTACTGCTGCTTCAGCTGCTTATTCCTCACATCTTTGTTCTTACCTGCAAAACAAAGACCCCATCCTGTCTGAGGGTTGTATTTGTATTTAGCTTACCTCCACCCAGCACTCCTTATATCCCAATGTTTGATCAAGGATTTGTACAGTCACACTTGTTGGGAATGCTGAAAATAACTGCCAAGGTACATGCTCATGATAATAATGATGGGAGTTGCTACTTTGCAGCAAAACTGCTTTTTGCACAAGACTGCTTCAAAGATGGGAGCACAGTCAGAAATCTGAACAAGAAGGATGTTACATACCTGAAAAATACAATCCCATGGCTTTCTCCAGCACTGGTCAGTACCGCCCTTTGCCTGCTGGGTAAGTCAGCTCTCCTACAGGTATTCACCTTAATGCTATGCACTCTGTCTGCCACAGTTCCCTTAAGTGGCTAGCAATAGCAGTTCTACCTTGGTTTGCTAGGCCCAGATTTCCATCAGAAGTATGACAGAATATTATTTTATCAAATTGTTCTTGCACGTGCAAAGTCTACCGTATTTTCAAGGCGTCATTAAAGGTGTCTACATAAAAAACTTGTAATAAGTAAGTCTTAATTGTGACACCTGGAAAATAAAAATAAAGCTCACTTCAGCAGTCTGTAGACTAGAATTCTCAGGCTGCCAAGCACAAATACCTTTAAATTAAATGCCCCATACCTTATCAGCATTCTACTGTATTATTCCATCTCAAACACCAATTTTTGTCTTGGCTTCAGGGACCACTTAGTTTACCCATGAAGTAAAGCAAGCCTCCCCTTTCCTCCCAACAGAGTTTCTTCAGAAATCCTAACAGTCTAACAATTTTCAAATGTGATAGAGGCTACTAAGCAAACTTGCTTTTTAAAGATGTGTCTTGGTTTGGGCTGAAATAGAGTTAATATTCCCTTTCAGGGACTAGATGAGTGCTGTGTTTTGGATTTAGCTTTGGGTTTGGTATGGGAAGAATGCTGGTAGCACACTGGTGTTTTCAGCTGCTGCCGAGACTTCAAGGACTCTCCGACTGCCCGTGTCCTGCCCGTGCGCCAGGGCACAGGGAGCAGGGAGGGAGCACGGCCACAGCACCCGACCCAAATTGGCCAGTGAAATATTCCATAGCATGGAACGTCATGCTCACTGTACAGAGGAGGGGTGGCTGGGGAGGGGCTCTCTCTCTCTCTCTCTCTCTCTCTCTCTCTCTCTCACTTCTGGGATTGCGACTGTGGGATCTTGGTATCTCGGGGTCGCCGGCCGGGAACGGGCTGGGGGTTGCTCAGCGGGTGGGGAGCAGTTACGCTGTACATTGCCTGTTTATATATTTCTTTTTGTTTTCCCCCCATCATCGTTATTGGTCTCGTTTTATTGCCATTATTAAACTGTTCTTATCTCAGCCTGCGAGTCTCCCCTCCCCCCTCTGCTCCCCTCCCCCATTCCCAGGTGGGGGGGGAAGGGAGGGTGACCACCTGGGGGGGTTGGCTGCCCACCAGGCCCAAACCACAAGATGACCTTTCCTTTTTCAAGGTTTCACTGAGCCACTTAATTACCCTTCCTCTTGTTCACCAAAGCACCTGCAAGGCGCCTCTGGCCAAAGCTTCCTACTAGAGAAAGCAAAGTGAATCCTGCAAGGTAAGTTTGTGAAGGTACCATGTGTAAAGTAAGTACTTTTTTTTTTTTTTTAAAACACACACCCAATACTAACAGCATAAATTTAATGTAAATGTTAATTCAAGTACAGAAGTGAAACACATGATTTCAACATTAAAAATTACAACACTTAGAACTACTAGGTAGCTAATATCAAATGCAAATAAAATTAAACTGCTGTAACTACATCTGAATTAACAGCAAAAAAGACAATTTAATATGGTGATGAAACACATTGAACTAAAAATATATGATGGATCACAAGAGCTGACCGCTTTTAAGAAAAATTATTCAACTTTCTATCTTTCCATTATATTGTTTTCTGTCTACATAATATTCCTTTTTCACAAGCATTTTTCAGACAAAACAGCTTACAAGCACTACTTGCATAGGTGAGGCCCTTATATTCTTAATATATGCCACGTGTCCTATTCCTTGACCAGGAACGGAAACTATATACCAAATTGAAAAGGAAGATGATCTACTGTATTATTTTCAGATTTTTAAAATGAAAAAAAGGCCTTTATTTTTTGTCATTCAATAAATAAAGCACTTTACGGAATAATGCTAAATACTCACAATAAAAACAAAGATGTCTCATTCAAAACGAATTACATACACCCAATTTAAAAAATTTAAAACTATTTTCAGTTTAATGCTAAACAATGTTTTTTAAGAAGAAGATGGCCTGAGTAGAAAGTGAGCAAGCTGCTGGATAGCTACCCCAGGCAAGACGTGCTGCTTACAGGGACAGTCTGGATTAGAGCAAGGCCTCTGAACTTGGAAGCACGCATGTCCCAACAGAGAGGTGCTAGCAACAAGAAACACAACTGAGCGAGCTGTACATAAAAGTACATGCAGTTTGTATGTGTCAAAACAATTTTTTCCCCTTTTTTCTTCTCAAAGAAGTGTCTGAAGTACTTAACCTCAATGTTATGACTGCAGCCACGCATCTCGTGTAGCCTGATGGTACTCTGACATAGAGCCCTTCCAAATACCACTCCTCCACCGATGTAATGCTATCCCAGAAGCAAAGATTTCATTGGGCATCTTCTTCCTATAAAATTCTGCATCAGGTTACATAAACAAATCTGAGCGTGGTATTTAAATTCCACATTATGGATGTTTATGTATGAAAAGGCAGGGTTTCTAGGGGGGGGTGTTTTCGGGTTTTTGTTGGTTTGTTTATTTCTTTAATGCTTGCTTAAGATTTATTACTTACAACAGAAGCTATAAAAATTCTGCACGAAGCTCAAAATACGAGAGTAGGAATTGTAGCAAATTATTTCAACACTAAAAATAAGCTACTGTTGTATAAACTATTACAGGTAATAAAACTTTTAAACAAAATATCTTTTCAAAACAAATTTAATCACGCTAACCTCAACCATTTAACATTTAATTTCACTAATCTTTAAAGTGACATGTTTAATACACACATGTGCTTTGAATAATTATTCATCAATAAACATGTAATGTGAATTTCCAGTAATTATGTATCCATGTGGTGTTCTTTTTTCCCTTTTGTGGCAAGATCCAAAGCAACAAATTCCAAACTTCTTCAGGGAAATTCAAGCCAAATAGGGTATACAGTTGGCTGCAGAAAAAGAGGGGGAAGGGGGGAAGAAACAGACTTTTGATTTCAGCAAACATACTGCATTACCTATTCCAACACAGACTTAACTATTAACAGAATTTAAGATAATGATGTAATGAAAGCAATCACAGTCTTATGCCAATGCTGCATTCATCCCTTTCCTCTGCACTCCTAATACTAACTTAAATCATTAAGGAATTTAGTCAACACTTCAAGCAACATCAGAAAGGACCTACTAAAAAAAGAGAAATTAAAAATTAGAACTTAATCTCAAGAGATTTTTCCTAAGAGCCTTATACTTTTTAAAAAAGCATTCTTCAGTACTGAACATATATATATAGGCTGAGAAAATATTTATTTTTAACCAAAATTTAATAGTTTGTGTTCAGTGGAAGTAAAACAAAGGGTCATTATTGTAGAGATGACAGCTTTAATGTGATTATTAGATCACTGTTCTGAGTTGTTGTTATATATAACAACTTAATACATCATACATATCATAGTAGCAGCCTTTCATATTGCATACTTAACACTTTAGATCCCAGTGTACTATTAACCAAGTTCTGTCCCACATACACTGCATGAACAAAATCCAACTTCATTGCTGTCATCAATGGACTAGAAATGGGCCCTAAATTCAGACCTGTTCTGAAGTGACCGACTCTACTCAAGTCAGCCAAGTTACTTCATGGATAAACACAGTCCAACATTTCTTACTTATTTTTCTCCAATTTCTCCTACACAGATCCAGATTTACAAATTTATGTTCCCTGTTTGTAAGCAACAGCAACAGAAAAGTAACTGAATCCTCAGAACAAATCCTGGCTAACTCAGATTAGAAACTTCCAGCAGTAAGGTTAACACTGAGTATAGATTTAATGCTATTTTCAAACTGCCTTATAAACTTTTAAAAATCAATCTCATAACATTCAGAGAAGATGGTAATCCCCATTTTAAAAAAATGAGGCCTCAGAAGTGACAGACATCCACACTTAAATTCATCCACAATAGCATATTTGAAAAAAGAGAACATTTACCCTTGTAGAATAAAATGCAGAAATTAAAAATAACGCTTTTTTGCAAATCAGAGGAGACATTACTCTTTTACATGAAACTAACTACCCAAAGAAACAGCCCACGTCACTAGTGTAGTAACTACTCCACTGCTGAACATAAATTTAACACCAAGTTGGAAATGCAAGTAATTCAGAAATGACTGAATGTCTCAGTCATTTTCAGAGTGAAAAACATAACCTTCCCTTGTGCTGCACAATCCACATGAACTGGGTGATTCACCAGCTGGTCTACAGCAGTAGAGCTATGGTGGTCTTTGGAATAAATAAATAAAATAATAATAATAAAAAAAAAAAAAGACTGGACATACTATTTTTACAAGCCTTCTCAGAGGTGTGGATGTGGGCAAATGACTTTGAGACCAATTTTTCCAAGAAACAGCACAGCGAAGATAACGTCTTTGAGGGGGTAAAAACCTACACCAAATACAAACCCAGGAGGTTTACTTACCTCTACTATCCCACTATGCTGCATTCAGGGACAGCAAAGTTATATATGCTTGCTCGGGGGCTGTGATAAAAACCATTATGTGTAAGTCATCAGATAAATATTTAAGATTTCTAAATTCATAGTATTAAGGAACATCTTATACTACATTCTGAGCTCTTCTAAAAATCACTAAAAAACCAACACACACTCAATCACAAGTTATCATCTGTACTTGCTAAACAAAGCCAGCAATTTCTGTATTTATTTAAATTTCTTACATTTTGTACCTGGCTGTTGCTTGTTCCAACAGCAATATAGTTAATTTTGATAAATCAAACCAAGGCAGTGTTGAAGTAAAGAAAACCCTAAAACGAAACAGTAAAATAAAAACATTTCAACTGAACTTTGAGTTTAATGTCTGAAGTCTAAGACAGCAGTCCACTCATACATGTGTTCCAAATCCGAGACGCTGAGTACACACTCTTGTACTACTTTATGTAAGTTTTACCCTTGACTTGTAAATTGCTACTGTATGCAGTACTTAAGCAGCTCAAACAAGTGAATGCATAGTAGTAGGATACAATAATTGCTCTGCCTGTTTCAGTAGTTTACTATAAACATTCTACGTGGGTAAACTGGAATTAATTTGTTACATGCTATAGTTAGTTCTTAAAATGTTTTTCCTTGTTTCAGAAATTTATTGGTCTATTTTCTTCTAAATTCTTTCTGCTAAATACTTTTAAATACTCTCTTCTACCTAAAAATTAATTTCTTAAATTGTGTCTCAATGAGATGCCACATGGAATAGCATGTGTGAGTGAACAAAGAATACCCTGTTGTGGAATACATGTCTAAAACCTGGCAGATCCCCAAAACTGAGGAAACTTCACCAAAACTTCTTCCTCATCACCCTTAAGTCAGACTCAGGAGGGAGAGAACTCCCTAGGACTCAGCCTTTGCTACAGAGGGTGTTATCTTAAGGCCTAGAAAAAGGTTCTGACATCTTCTGTTACCTCCTTAAACCAGTGGAATTCCACCTGCAGTAACTGAAAACAAAACAAAAACCCAAAACCCCAACCATTCTCTGAATGGTTCCCTTTTCTAAGCTTCAGATGTTTACTCTTACTGAAGAAAGGAAGGTGGAAGTTCTCCTACAATTCAGCACACATCTATGCAACTTCGAGTTCTCTTCTGCCTACGCTTTGAAGTCATCTGGATGAGCCAGCTTGATTCCATAAGCTACAAAGCTACACTACTGATGCAAACGACCTGAATGATAAATAATGCCTCCTATTGTGGGATTGACTAGGCACTAACACTGCTTCTGGACCAGAGGTGGAACGTAGAGCCTGTGTTAATTAGCACAACTCTACAGTCTCCAAACGGGAGCTGCCTCGCATCTAGTCAGCATCAAGGACAGGCAATATGTTTTTTTAACTGGATACCACATTTAACAGCCAAGCATCATTTTGCAAACAGCACTAAGGTGTTGTGTAACTTCTAAAGACACAGACTTATTTGTGTCAAAATGAGATTCAAATTAATGGAAAAGGTACTGATTTTTTCTATGGGATATTCAGGTTTTTTCCTATTCTGGATCCCTACCCCCAGCTCCCATCCCCCAGTATTCACATTCTGTAACTTCAACATGTAGCTCTGCCCCTTCTCACAAAACATACCAACATGCAACATCCATGTATTTAAACAAGCCTGAATTTTTTCAATCCCTTGACACATTCATGATTTATCTAATAAGATTAAAATGTAGCTTATTCATCTTTTAGTGAAGTCATAGCTTTCTGTATTTCCTCCAAGCATCATTTTCAAAATATTCAGGTGACACCAAGTGGTTAATTGTTGTACTGCTGTCTGTTCAGGACTACTGACTGTATGCAGTAGCAACCAAGTATTCTGTTATGTGAAAGTAAATACAGAAATATGTATCACCAAAAAAAAGCCAGCAGAGTGCTTTGATATTATTAACTGTAACAGTCCAATTTTAAAATTCTATCAAAGCAGCCCTTTCTCACTTACCTTAGTCTGCTTATATGCTTTAAAAATACTTACGCACATAATCAAAAATTAAATAGGCAAAAAAATTAAGTTACTGTAAGAAAAGCTACTTACCAGAAGGAATTATTCCCTGTGTCATCTTTAAATACTCATGCTTATAGTAAGTTGCTTCCAAGAAGAAACACAGACTTTTCTCAAAATCACCGCTGCTTATTAAAAAACCAAAACAAACCAACAAAAAAAACACAAATCCCACAACACATGCATCCATACAGCATCATTAAACAAACCATACAAAAGACACTTCAGTGAGAAGGAGGGATTCTCTGGCACAACTAGCAACTCTTCTTTAGTTGTAGATGCCTCTTTCAACATAGTGTTGGAACAAAAATAACTTCTGTAGATAGGGAAAAGAAAATCTGGTTCTAGGCTCCTTATGGCTATGCTTCAGTATCACAATACCAACACCAAAAAGAGGGTGTTTATCAACATGAAGGAGGTGTATCTTTCAAAAGTCTGCCATGTATGTGTGCCTTGAAAGAGGGTTTTGCACGCGCTGTACAGGGCCAAATCCTCAGAAACAAGAATCCACAGAAGCCATCAAAAGTTTTATAGTTCAAAGACAACAAGACAATATTACTAGCACCAGGCCATTAGGTGGACAGCTTTTAAAAAAACAAACCTGGGATTTAGGAATTCTGCTAAGAATTCACATTAATTGTAATCATATGGCACACAGCGTGCTAGAAAGCTTTAAAACACTGTTAATTTAAATTTACCTTAAAATGTTTTCCATAGAGCACTCTTAACTATAACTGGAGAGATAATCTCAACACATACTTTCTTAATATTTTTTAAACTTATTTGCATTCTGCACTTGACCACAGATGTGAATAATCATTCTTAGTCTATTTTTTTCTAATTGTTTTGGCAATTATTTCCCATAGAAGTATAGGAGAAAAAATATTATCACTAGATAATTCTATCTCTTAGCCACAAAAGGGGCAGGTATGCATGGTCAGGTATAGAACTTGAAGCTGTCTTCATTCTTTAAAGGAGAGCCTCACACCACTATTTCGAGTTTAACATCCTTTTTATCTTTTGTGTTCAAGAAGACATGGGTTATAAAGGTAGGGCCCTAATTTTTATAGCTAGAAAAATTGGAAACCGACGCTCAACCAGCAAAACGCTGCCCATTGTGTGTACAAAACCAGGCATAGATAAAATAAATAAATCTCATCACTTTGAACACCTGAAAATATCACCTTCTGGAGATGACCTACTAATGCAAACCAAACATCACTGCTAAAGTGGAGACAATGTATAAGGCTTTTCATTTTGGAGAGTCTTCTTCCTCTAAGACCTCTTGGTCATGCAAAATCAAAACAAAGGAGAAGCAAGATTCGAAGCAAGAAGAAAAAGCTTGTTTACATTTCAGTCATGCATTTAAAAAAAAGGCATCATAGTCCAAGCCTGAAATAAGTCTGCTACAAACTCATCCAAAAGAAAAATCTCACCACAGCCTAAGTATCAAGAAACTTCCAGAACAAATGCTAAGTATCAGTATGAGGAAGAGAAGGATGGGAACGCTATTTTAACAATTTTCTATCAGCAGTAGCTTTTCCAATCCACCAAAACTAGAATAGGTGAGGGAAAAAAAAAAAAAAAATAGAAGGGGAAAAAAAAATAAAGAAGGGAATATAATGGAACAGAAAATTCTTTTTTAAAGCATTTCTCAGGAACAGAAGCAGTCATCACTAACACAGGACTCCAATTACCTTTCAGTTACTATTTCTGCTTCTATTTCCCTGAAAATTTAGTTTCACTGAGCCAAAATTAAGAAGTAAAAGCATTTTAATAAACACTTCTTTATCTGTTCTCATTTCTCCTCCTTACATTCCTGAAGCAGAATCAAGCTCTAAATCTTGTGGATGCAGTCCTGAGCTCTGTATGCATGCACTGCTAACCAGAAGAGGATTATTTACTGTATTATACGATCTCACTGTGCTTGTATCCAGAGCTGACTCTACTGCATCACCAAGTCTGATGCCTCAGACACTGCCTGGCTCAAACACAGTAGGCACTATCCCCAGAGAATGCCACTCCTCTCATGCCTCAAAGCCCATCGCTTAAGGAGGCTGATATTCTAAACTAGAATGTGAAAAAACACAGTAGTCTATTAATAAACAGAAATAACATTAATTGAAGCACCACCTGTTTGAATTTCCTAGACATTATAAGAAACTTGGAAAGAACTTGCCTACCACCACTCCAAAAACAAAAATACTCCCTCCCAAACAACTTTGGCATTGCTCCCATTATTAATAAAAACCAAAAAACCCCACAAACCAAACAAGAAGAAAACCCACAAGCCAAAAAACCCCCAACTGTCTACACACAATCAGATAAGAAATTAGTTTGTACTATCTGAACAAGCCTATCCTCCCCAATGTAATTCTTCACAGGAAGAAAAATTAAGAAAAAAACCCCTAAACCTCTGGCTCTAAGACTCATTAGAAACATTTTTTGTAGTGACAGAAAGATATTTATGATGTTCTACAAAAGACTAGGAAGAATTCATTTCATGATACAGCATCTACTAATCTAGTCATGCTGAAAGAAACCATGCAACAAACACACAAGAACATTACTCAGCAGAACAGAGAAATTATGTGATCGTTCATAATACTTGCAAAATTATAAAGATCAGTCCTATCTCAATCTTCAAATACACCAGGATGTAAAGACCAGAAAAAGAGCTAACCAAGCAGAAAAGAAATCGTTCAAAAGAACAAGTGGAATAGATTATACAAAGCTTTCCCTGTAAGTATGAACAGTTTTCAAACCATCATGGTACAGCTCTGTAACAGCCTTCACATCTGAGTACCAAAGAGCCAAAATTCTGATTTCTTTAAGGATGAAGTTTGATCTGATGATGAACAACCTGGCACTAGAAATCAGTTCTGTGTTCTGAATGTTCTGAAAAATGCTGGGCAGGAACTAGATGGCAAAAGTGCTACGCTTTGTATTATTTAAGTATTTCACATTATAAAGCAACAGGGATAACACAGAACTGCAGTGATCTGTCATCTTAGTTATAAAAATATTTTACCATAGCTTTTTATAATATAATAACTTCCATTTTCTAGTAGTTGCATTATAATTTTAAGAAATGGAGTATATATAAGTGAATATGCTACACTCAGAAAGTAATTAATAACTGTATCCGTATTTTCTCCCATTTTCTGGTTAAGAAAAATGACAGCACTCTTTAACTAAAGAGAATACATGTAGAATCATGTAATGACACTCTGATATAGCCTTCAGAATATCTATAAAGAGGAATAAAAAAAGCTTCCCGAACCCACTTATTTATCTGAACATGGATCTACCACTTCTTTTTCTCTGACAATAAATCAAGAACACAGCCTTTCAAATAAATTTTCAGCACCATAATCATTATGCAGATGACCTTATACATAAGTCAATTTACACATCATCTAGTTGTTCTTCATAAATCACTACAGTAGATAAACCTAATAAAAAATAGCTCTAGCACTGCACTGTATAGATGCTCACAGTGTTTCATCAGTGCTCTCACCTGATCATCCAGATGCAGATGACTATACAAGAAACAATCCTTCTGTAGACTAACTTACACTTTATATAAAGATAACACACAGAAACCAAGATATATACACAAAGCACAATCTTAAACTTTTCTAGCTTCAGTTCTTAAGAACTAATTGAAAGTGTTTATGCTTACCTAGATGCAGAAGTGTGAACTGTGCTGCCAACTCCTTTGCACCTTCTACTGTTGTACAGAGTTTGTCTGGCATGAAATAACTCTGGGAACCATCTGCAATACTAGGAATGAGCACCTTGTACACCAAAAGTATTTTCCCATCCTGACTTGTGGTTGAATATAAATAGTATTCTGGCGGTGCCCAGTTATTTTTATTGCAAAAATAATCCAGGTGCATTGCTGCAGAACTGAAGTGACTGGATTTTAAAGAATACATGCTAATTGGAGTAAGCTTTATTCCTGGGAAAAACGGGTATGTGCACCTTTCAACTTCAGGGGGGCCTGGGCTGTGCTGACCATTAAGACGAACCGAAAGGCTTGCTGGTTTCCCTAAAGATTTTTGATGGCCATCTCCTTTGTTGGGGAACCCTAGCAGATTTTCAGAACCAGGACTTAAGTAACCATTAAAATGTTGCTTCCAAGCACTTTCTTTGTTAACTGGCTTAGCCAGTGTTACCTCAATACTGGCTCCATCAATGCACTTTCCATTCATTATAGACATAGCAGTAACTGCATCTTCGCGGTGGAAAAAATGAACGAAAGCATAGTCTCTCAGCTTCTTTACACGTTCAACTACTCCTGGCTTGAACTTGTTGAATTCAGCTTTAATTGTGTCCTCTGTAGTAGATATCATTAAATTTCTTACATATAATACTTTAACTCTCTGCATTGTTTCTTCATCAACTTCTTTCTCAGGATCTGCCCAGTCTACCTGAATAGTATGACCCCAGAGCTGGAATGTTCCTACAGCAAAGAAGCATTACATCAATAAGAAATATGCAAAGGAAGACAAAATCATTCTTACTGACTACCTCTACAAAAAGCAAATATGATGCATGTCACGTGAAATGGGGTTTTGTTGCCTGCATCTACTCAAGCAAAATATGTAAAATACTGCTACCCAAAATTATTACAGAAGACTCTGAAAAAATGCAAAGATTCAAAATCTGTACCCTTAGACTTCACTGAGCACCATAAGCTGCCAAAAGACTTCATGGGACATGCATATATAAAGCAACCATAAGCAACACAGTATTTTACTACTTAGTAAACACAGCCTTTTTAGCACTACCACTTTAAAAAGTAAGGTCACCACCTGGAAAAAGTCATCTGAATGTATATGCACTAGCCCAAGCCTTACTTTACATTGCAGCAGACACCAAAATCATAAACTAAAAAAAAAAAAAAAACAAAAAACACCACCTTGTTACTCATTTCAAGCCGATATTTTGCATGTCACCCGACTAGTCTATTTTACATTCAGTGATGTGGCCATCTTTCTCCCATTACTTTGCAAGGCCTATGTAAGTCTTAGGTAACATTCCTTCCTAACACTCTAGCAGCAATTAATGTGAGACTTGCCTACATCTTAGCCTTAATAAATACACAGTTTTGTCATTCATTTCAGTAATGCCCATGCTATATTACCTATTTTAATGACTTTGCTCCTCCAACTATATTATTTAATTTCTTCCCTATTTAATTTCTCTTCTAGAATTTCCCTTTTAAACTGTACTTATTCCCTCCTCTTTCAGTTTCTTTAACCCCTTCTACTTTCCCTCCCTCAAAATATATAAAATAAGGTGCAAAGAAAAAGTAATCTTCTACTTAAGCTCTTAAAATTATTTTCTAGTAAAAGATCAAGGAACTACTTTCAAACATTTTTAAAATATGAAACATCAATAACATCACTCATGACACTCAAAATAAGGAACGCATTCCAAGTGTCATGTTTTTCAAGCTCAGCTTTAAGAGATTTCATGTGCAGGGACCAGTGCATGCCAATGAAAACTGGATGTGTGCCCAAGCAAACACATATGTTTATTAAAAAGATGTCTGCTCTTTCCTTCTCAGAACTGCTTAAATTTCAGCTTAAAACAAAAAAACAAAACCAAAATTAAAAACAAACAAACGAACAAACAAAAAATCCCAATTCATGAACTTCACACACACACCCACCCCCCACAAATCCTCTTCAGCTGAAAGGCACTACTGCAGTTTTCTAACTCTCAAAATACCTTAAAGAAAGGAAAATAGGGACAATCCACCACCCCACTTCCTGCAAAATGGAGAAAGACACTCCCCAAAAAACTCAATTTAATTACAAATAGGTTTACCTGGGATTAGCCGCCTTCTAGCCATCGCAGCTGCTCTGTGAGATTCATATTCTACAAAAGCAAAGCCACGATTTTTAGTTTTATCAGTGGCATTTGGATAAACAATGACATCCACCACTCCTTCTGTAACTTTTTTCATTTCATTTAGTATTTCTTCTTTCTTCTTTTCTTTTGGAATTGCTCCAATAAATAGTCTGCAGTTGTCCAAGCTTACGCAGACACCAATAAATTTCCCTGGACGAATTTCGTAATTATTAAGAATCTTGATGGCTAGCTGGGCTTCCTCTTTGGTAGTATACATCACAAAAGCATAGCCTCGATTCTCACCACTGAATTCCATCATCAGCCTGAACTCATAGATCTTCCCGGCTCTCTCGAAAACGGGAACTAACTCATCTTCATACATATCACGAGGAATCTTACCCACAAAAACTTCACATCCACGAGGTGGTGGAGGACCTTCCCAACCTGAAAATAAATTATCCAACAACAATCTTAGTACAAATGCCAGACAGGCACACTCCTCTCCCCAACATAATTTGGAGGTGGGAGTTATTTATTTTTAGTCTTAATTTAAAACTAGCATATTGTCATCCAGTAATTAGTTCTTATTTTTGTTATGTTTAAATAAAAAAATACCATAATCATGTTTTGCCCCTTATAATTATATGTCAGCAATTAATACAACTGATAAGTGATAACTGAGAAACAACATAAGCTGTATTTTTTACTCTACCATTTTAAAGTTGCAAATGTTTCTCTGCATTTCTTGCCCATATTTTAGAAAATTTGGTCAGGGTCTCAGTGCAGATTTATTTTCTTCCTTGACATCATTCAAAAGGTCCAAACATTTTGCTTCCACCTTCTCCATTCATCCACTAAAATAGGACTCCCTGTGGAAGGTGGGATATGGAGTCATCCTATCCTCAACAGTCAAAAAGACTAAACTTTTCCTCTAAAAACAGACCACAGGTTTCATGGACTGGAGCTGGATTGTAGGAAAAAAAGAAATTAAAAAAAAAAAAATTCCACAGAACAGGTGAGTCCCTAGTTCCTATCTGAAAGTTACAGGAAGATCCATGCTTCTGTCCTTAAGCAAAGGACATTCATACACTCTTTTATATCTCTGCCAGATACGCTGAAAGGTATGTTCAACATGTAAAAATCCATATATGCATTTAAAAATATGGAGTTATGGTCTGCACTACATTTTCCCAAAATATGCTTTAAAAAAAAAAAAAAAAAAAAAAAAACAACAACAAAAAAAAACCCACACCACAACCAAACAAGTCAGACAAATCAGGCAGAAGTTTTAAAGGCCGACAACCAGTTAAATCGTAACTAACAGCTTTTTCTAAAGCTTTGACATGAAAGGTTGTCTGCAGGAGAGCGAGCAAGGAATACAAAGCTGGTAGAAAAAAATAATACAAAATATGGTAAGTACTAGTATGAAATGACAAAGTATAAGGAGACAAGGTGAAAAAAAATTGCTATTGACAAGTTAAAACAAGAACATAAATATTTTACTTTGGCTTCAAGTTCAGAATAAATTATATTTAGGTGATTTTGTAATTAACGTAATTTTTTTTCCTTCATGTAAGTATCAAAGGGCACGTAATCTACTTGTGAAAAAACCTTTAACAGAATTGGGAAATTTTTGCCTTCTCACAGAATTGATTTTCATCTGTGAACTGTACACTAAGAACTACATGGTACACATGGAAGCTACCAAGGGATCAGAATTGACATGCATTTGAAGCCACATTGCCATGGCTTAACTAGGAAAAAGTCTGGCTCTGTTCCACAAAGCATTCAACATCTTCACCATTCTCAGCTTTATAAACATTTATGACTACTTCAGCTGAGATCTGACAGGACATGGCAATAACACAGTTTGCACGCTAGCGCTGCCGTCACTCACACTGTGGCAGTCAGTTGCCCACATAAAAAAGCACAGACCAACAGTACACCATTGAGGAGCTCAAAGACAAAAGCAACTGCACAGGACAAGAAGGGAAGAGGGACTGGTAACTGATTAAAGTGACTCTCAGTAAGTAAACGCCACCTACCATGCAAAAAGCCACCCTTCTAATTTTAAAACTGCATACTAACTTATCATTACAGCACATCACTGCCAACTGCAAGTAAGTTATGACTCCTGATTTAGAGAAAACCTGGTCTGGGCCACATTTGCCAATGAGCGACATGTATTTAATAGAGCAAACATGGAAACAGTTAACCAAAAGCACCATCCCTCAAGTAGTTACCAAGTGACCACAGAGTTTCCTTGACTGGGTACTTGATTTATCATCTAAGGTCTAGTCAAGCGGTCCGTGCAGCGGGTGGGAACTGGCTGACAGGCACCACCCAGAGGGTGGTAGGAAATAGCTCCTTTTCAAACTGGCACCCTGTCCCATGCGGGGTCCCCCAAGGATCCACGTTGAACCCAACACCGGTTAATATCTCCATAAGTGATCTGGAAGATGGGATCAAGTGTGCCCTGGTGGGGTTTGCTGACGCTACCAAACTGAGTGGGGGAGTGGACACTTTGGAAGGGAGAGCCACCCTGCAGGAAGACCTGGATGGGCTGGAACACTGGGCTAACGAGAACCTTATAAAGTCCAAGGACAAGTGTAAGGTCTTGCACCTGGGAAAACATAATCCAGGAGCGCAGCACAGGCTGGGATCTGCCTGGCCGGGGAGCAGCTCTGTGGAAAGGGACAACGAGCTCAACATGAGTGACCAGCACGCTGCAGCGGCAAAGCCAGCCAACGGGATGCTGGGCTGTATCAACAAGGGCATCACCAGCAGAGATAAGAAACCATCAACCCACTGCACTCAGAGCTTGTCAGGCCACCCCTGGAATCCTGTGTTCGGTTTGGTCCCTGCTACACAAAAAAGCCGAGGACAGGCCAGAGAGGGCCAGAGGAGGATCACAAAGATGACCAAGGGCCCGGGAAGCCTGTCATGTGAGGAAAGGCTGAGAGCACTGGGTTTGTTCAGCCTTGAGAAGAGAAGGCTTAGGGGAGACCTTATCACCACGTCCCAGTATTTGAAGGGTGGCTAGAAAGAAGATGGAGACTCCTTCTTTACAAGGAGTCCCATGGAAAAGATGAGGGGTAATGGCTACAAGTTATTCCTGGGGAAATTCCGATTGGACCCAAGAGGAAAATTTTTCACAATGAGAACAATCAGCCACAGGAATAATCTCCCCAGGGAAGTGGTGGATTCCCCAGCGCTGGACAGGGTGCTGGGCCATCTTGTATTCTACGATTGATTCTATGATCACTGGATGATAGATTATAGGATTATTTTTTTGCAGCAGTTCAAGGAATGAAACTTCAATTCACATTATAGTTAAAATCCTCTCACTGTTAGTGAGGTCTATGCCATCTCAAATTTTCTTCCCTGTAATTCTAATGACTTACATGCCTAATGACATCATTATGTCTGCAGCAATATAAGCAAAGGACCCAAACAAAGCACTGAAAATTCTTTTTTTTGACTTTTTTTTTTTTTCCACACTACACTCTACAGATACATTTCCCTCAAGTGGCATAAACTCAACAAAAACTGTGCCACTGCCAATTGAGGTGGAAAAAAAAAAAAAAGTCAATTCTCAGGGTAATTTTGAGCCTTGCTCTGGATAACGTGCCAGTCAGGTAAACACGATGGTAACAGTAAAACAGAGCTGACAGTAAGACTCACTTGGCAGCAACACAAGTTTATAGAAACCACATCTTAAACAAGCAAAACTGGCAGTGAAACTCTTAATTTACAAACAGTTATTGCAATTTCTTTCAAGACATCTCAAATATTCAAGTCTCACCTGGCCTAGAAAACCATTTATAGTAGTAACTTTGGGTAATTTCCAGCCTAAGCAAGTATGAAAATACATGAAGATTTAAAGGAGAGGTATATAATTAATGTCAGTAAACAGATTTATGGAAGATACACCTTGTCAAACACATCCAGTTTCAGAAAAAATTAACAAATTTCATTAATGAAAGTAATTTTACCAGTACACTTAATCCTGCCTAATGTTCTAATTAGAAATCATAACAGAAAAAAAATATTAAATAATTTCAGAACTGGCTGAGCCCTCAGGAAGGTCAGTGACACCCTGCAGTTCTTTTTCCAGTTCCACTTTCAAAGTAATTTCACAGGGCTTCCTCTGGCTGTTTTACATAGGCTAGTAAAAGTATGTACAGAATTTTAGACAGTAAAAACTTCTGAAGTAATTTTGATGCAGCTGTATCTTAAACTACCTGTAACAATAAGCAATACAGTTCATGCTTACGAGCCTGACTTAAAGATACAGGATCACAGGCCACAAGTGAGAACAAACTGAAAAAGCAGCACAAAGATCTTTCCTTCTTTCCGTTTGTGTAAGTGCATAATCTGACTCAAAAAGAAGAGTTACTGTACTCCATGTGATACAACCAGGCCTAATGGCAAAATTCTTCTACACTGCTGATGTCAACAACACTGGAAAAACTATTCAAAAATAAAAGAAATGCTCATAAAGATTTAAGGCATTTGATTCATTTCATCAGAATAACAAGAAACGTTAAAATAGAGATAACCGACACAGCATTATTACAAGAATTAAAGGTATTAGATCTTTCCTCAAGAAAACTAAAAAAAAACCTACTTCAGACTGGAAATAAAGCCCAAACTCAGCAGGAAAGATGCTAACTATTTTAACAAGCTAAGTGTAGGAGTAGATAATCCCACCTTTTAAAGTTCTCAAAACCAAACCCACATACTTTTCTGAAAATGTGCTTTCATCAAAAAAAGTCATCAGGCTCAACACAATAATAACTGAGCATGAAGTAAATGCGTAAGATGCACAGAAGTTCAAACTAAATGATCTAGAAGCCACTTATTAAAATATTATTGAGGAGAACAAAATGACATTTTGGTAGGGAAAAAACCCCAACATAAAAGTTAACTCTTGAATAGGGGAATAACGACAAGACAATTAGGAAGAAAAGTATGTATCTACTGAAATATTCTTCCTCTGTTCAAGCATCTTCACTCAAAACAATAATGAATTCCAATCATTTGGGTTTTATCCATTTATTTCATAAATTTTTGGCCTTTGCAGCACAAGACAAACCCACTAGTTTCCAGCATTTGTATAAGCATGGATTAAAGTCAAATGATCTTGCAATATCTGTCCTACTTAAAACTAAGTCATTTAAATTTATTTTGGAAAGCAGATTTGAAGTGCTGAACAAAGGCTTTTCCTGCCACTACCTGTGAGAATTACTCGTTTTCTATAAACTAAATCTGCACCAGTTTCAGCAAAAGTATTGTAGCAGGGGATAGGGCTATTTCAAGAGATTTATTATTGCTAAGTTACTTAATCATGGTATCAGACTTGGTTTTGAAATAGTATTTAATACACAATAAAAAATTAAGTCTTACAACGTAGTAACATCCTGAAAAATGCTTACTAAATCAAATAGTCACTGCTTCCAAATTGCAATGTACATATTCCATATGCCGCAGGACTTAATTATACTTTTTTTTGTCATTAACTGTAGTGAAAATATAATTGGGCATATAGAAAAACATTTCAGTGACAAAGTAGTTTTCACTGCAGCTATAACTTCCCAGTTCAAGTGTGCAAGTCTCCCATTTACACTGTGACAATACATCCCAAACCACCATAAATTAAGCAAGATGATGACTGTAGTTTTTATAGCATCAATACAATCTGTCATTCTCTGAGATTTTTATCAACTGTTATTTTCTGTTTACACATGGATGCATACTCAACAATTTCTGTTTGAAAGAACAGTAACACATGAATAATAAACTCTGACTGTTGTACTTTACTGTTAAAAACATATCCAGTGGATGAGCTCCAGTAGCTCATCATTTATCAATTTTTATTCTCTGAATAGTTGGGGCGGGTATGTTAGATATGAAGTACAGATTAGTCAACTCTGAAAACAAAATGAGTTTGATTACCTTCACTGGTGCTATCTCAGAGGCCAGAGGTGTGTTAAAAAAAAAAACAAAAACAAAACAAAAAAAAAAAAAAAAAAAAAAAAACTTAGCCAATGCATGCAGCAAGACAAGAAATAAAGCAGGTTACACCTGCTGTTACCAATTTGGTTTTCCCTTCTGTGCCACTACATGTTTTCAAGAGTGTTCTCAGTCATACGGAACACACTCAGTATTTTCAGCTCCACATTTGTTTTGCTGCTTTTAGAGCTGCGACTTCTTAAACCCACCAAGAGTAAATGTTCAATGTAGTCCAGCACAAGAGACCTTAAACTGCTGGAAACTGTAAAGCGTATCAGGACCCTGTATATGTTCATTTTTCTTACACTCTTTCCCTAAGCATCTCCTACTGGTCACTGTCAAGATACAGGATATGAGACTACACAGACTTTCAGTCTGATCCAATATAGCTCTCCTTACAGAAAAAAAACTCCAACTTCATAATCTCAAAAGAAAACCTTACCTGGTGGAGGACCACCAAATTTTCTTTGCCCATTTTCTTGAACCATGCTGTATCCAGTCTTCTCCATCAGGGCCAGTAAAGCAGCCTCATTCTGAGTGCCACTTCGCATTTTGCCACATCCGTTTGCTGCAGCTTTATTTTCCTCGTGCATGTCTGCAATAGCTTCAACAAAACATGACAGATATTTCAAGATAATTCTAAGTTGTTACACATATACAGAAGCTACCAAAACACTGAAAAGCAACTTACTGAAGCGTAAAGCTTCAATCCTACATCCAACTACTATCATCTACATATTTGTCTTCAGAACAGTCTGTAGCTGTGATAATCTTGAACTTCAACCAGCAACTGTATATTCTATATTCAAACTTTCATAAGCAGTATCACAACTATTTTCTAAGTATGCTGCCCTTCAAATACAATAATGAATTCTTTCATAAACCACATTATCACAGTAGTGCAGAGACCTATATGCTACTTGAAGTGACAAATTCTACTTCCTTATTACTACATTTGATAGAAATAGCAGTGATTTTAAAACTGCATTTTAGTACAAAAATCTTAAGAAATACATTAAATCCATGCCTAATTAACAGAAAAAATTCCAATAATTCATGAACAAAAGTAACTTAATTAAAACCAATATGTAATATATCTAGGCAGAACTGTCTGGCAAAACTACAGGGTTGAAATAATCCCACCTCCGGGGTCCTTATTTTCATTATTTTATCCATTTTCACAATCTCCAAAACTAAAAAGGTTTATCAGTATGACTCTTGATGCTACTTCCCTGGCATGCCAAGATCTCATACAACAGCTTTATGTTTCTGTCATCCAGATGATGGGAAATAATCATACCAAGGAACACATCTGGCAATTACCAACTTTACTAGTCAAACCCCTAAAAAAATTAACTTTCACATCAGATTTTTTTCACTGCCTCTTTTTCCTTCCCCAATTTATGTCTTCTTTCCCCAAGATGTTATGTCTGCAATACTTAGACAAGAAATCCTCTTCAACATTTAAATACTCTGTCCAAATGGTACGTTCAATGTGCTGTAACACTCATTCTCCAAAAGAAACGCTGCCAAAAAAATCACCACCAGAAAAATAAGCTACAACTCCTGTTTGTTCTTTAATGTCCCCTATATTTTCAGCTTGCTTTATCTTCAGGATCAGGCGCCAATAAATAAAGTCCTGAGACATCAGCAGTTTATTTTTTCCAAATACAAGTTAAAACCAGCTTAAATTTCACACAAATGTTTCTTGTTAACCCACTATTATTTGCTGAACAATGAGGCTTCCCAGTTAAGGCTTCAATTAATAAAGTATCTGGAAAGCAGAGAATAAAGGAAACTAAGTCAAGGACAGTAAAGAGTGCATAAGCATTCATGTGTCTGTCTCTTCATCAGACTTCCACTACTCAAGGTACCAAGAAACCAATTATCTCAAGGAAAAAAAAAAAAAAATCTGTAAAACTCAAACTTGGTTGCACTGAACTGAACAATGCCAAAAGGGAGGGAAGAAGAGTTCAAAATCAGTTACAATTGCATCCTTTTTCTACAGTCTGAAGCTTCTCCTCTTCAGTTTGTCATTTCTGGTGCTTTTGTACTAACTAAATTATTACTTCTAGTTTGACTATCCAAATGAGCACCATTACATGTACAATATTTTACCCGACATTATTTACATTTATCTACATTATATTTTTTACCTGACAGTTGACTATGCAACCCTCCACCACTAGCAGAAACAATTAGCAAAAAAAAGCCATACATAGTAATGTATCAAATGTTACCCCACCTTTCTTTATATATGAAGGTTTTTAGATGATTGCTGGTCACACTAAGCAAGTTTTTGTCTCCATGCTATCCCCATGGTTGCTAGCCCTTTTATTCTTCACTTACACATTCCACTGAACACTACCCCATTATCTCTAACTAAAATGACTCTGTATAAATTGAAGTTTTTTAGAGGATTATACAGCGTATTTATGGAGCGATTAAGCCTCTTACACTGCCACATTTAGGCATGTTAAGCAATTATATTACTGTCCAGAGGTGGACTTCCTCCCCCTCTCCCGTAACAGCTTAGTCATTTCAAATGTGCTTTGAATCAAAGTAATAATTAAACTATTCTTCAGTGCATTCTTTTCACAACAGCCTTCATGCGACATTATAACAGACACTACACATCCCTTGATTAGAATGGTGATCGAATAAATACAACTGCAATTTCTTCCATCCCAGAAAAATACTTTTGGTGGAGATACATATGTATTTTTTCTATCAAGTTGGTGTTCATTTTGGAGCAGAAATCCGTGCAAGCAACCACTCCGGGGAATTTTATGTAATACCCATCACTGATTGTTAAAAAAACAACCCCTAAACAACTGCTGGCTTCATCAAAATGGGATTCCATAAAAGAAGCAGAGTAAAGCAGAAAAAAAATCCCCCCACAGGCAACAGCAGTAACAGCATGACCCCCCTCTGCTACAAATGGTGTTCCATCTCCTTTCAGCAAGGTTTCATGGCCTACAAACTACACGGAGATTATGTTATCAGGAAAACTCTCGGCAGTTTCAGGCCTAACAAGGTGTGGAAAGGCAACAATGAAGTTGGGGCAAGGGAGAGATAAATGAATTTTCCCTTTGTCTCACTGAGTTCGACCATCCAGCCGAGACGAACGGCATCTTTAAGCGCAGGAAGGGGACACGAGATGAAAATCGTGGGTTGATGAGGGCGCCCGCAGTGCTCCCAGAGGTGAGAAAGCACCGAGGAGCTAGGACAAGCGGCCAGCAGAGGAAGCAAGTGCACCAGGGTCAGGCCTCGGGGCGAAAACGCCACCTGAGGAGACCAGACGTCATGTAGGGCAGGGAAAGGAAAGAGAGAAGTACAGCAGTCCCAGAAATACCCTGCGCTACTCCCGCCGACTTGCGCGCTGAGGGCGGCTGCCGCGGACCCCTCTCCTCGCGGCTCCTTCCCCACACGCCCTCGTCCTCGACGCCGCCTCCGCTCTTCCCCACGGCACGGCGAGGGCCCGGGCCCGGCCCCGAACCCGAACCCGCTGCCGCTCCCAGGGAGGCGAAGGCCGCAGCAAAACCCCCCGCGAAGACCCCGTGGCCCGCAAGGAACAGTCACGGCCGGCCCCGCAGCCACAGTTTTCCCTCGCTCTGCCCCCGCCTAGCCAATCACGGAGCGGGCAGGGCGGGCACGGGCATAATCGACAGGCGGCGACAGCCAATCACAGCGAGGAAAAGGGCGGTGCCCGGCACGCGAGCGCTTTTAAAGCAGGCGACCGTTAGGTGGAAGGATACCGTCGGCGCGCGCGCGCGTCTGCGAGGGACGGCGGCAGGGCGCGTGCTGGCGGCGCCGCGTGGTCGCCCTGAGGGGGCCGAGAGCGGGGCCCCTTGCGCTTCGCCCTTACCTTGTGAGGGCCTAGCTGGTATCTTTAGTGACTTTCGGCTGCGGCTCGCTCTTACGTGGAGCGTTTGGGCCTCTGAGGCTGTGTGCCGGTCGGTCGGCGCGCGCTTGTGCTTTGGGGAGCGTTTGGTGTCGTGCAGGCCCTTGTTGGTCAGCAATAGCGAAGTGAAATACGCCTGTTTTCAATCCCTGTTATTATAATTACTATTTCAGTCTCCTGGAAATGAATCGCGTTAGCTGAACAGCTACATGCGCTTCTGATGCTTTTGGGCTTCAGGCCGTGCAGTTCCAAGCACTGCTCCTGATCTCCACCCTGAACTCCTCGGGGGTCACGGCGGCGCAGCTGCAGCATGGCACTCCGATAGGCACGTGTCAAATGTACCAGGGTCAGTACAGAGTATGGGACTAGGTTGCAAGTTCTGCAATTTGTTGTTAACGAAATGGTGTGGCCCATCTAGCAAATGATAGTCTCTCAAAGCCAAAATACTTTCACCAAATACTTTCCCTCCCTTTTCCTAAGACTTAAATGCTCAACTGTACTTATTAATAAAGCAGAGAATCAAGAAATTTTAACCAGGGGGCATGCAAATTCATCTTCCTCATATATTCCAGACCTTTTATCAATATAGTTTTAAATACATACTGCCATAAAATTGTCACGAGGTCATATTAGGCATTTACCTATTCAAGTTTGCTTGACTAATGGTGTATTTTACAAATGGTGTTTCCATTTGAAAATTCTGAATACCAAAGCTATTGCTTTCAAAATTAAATGTCACTACCTTTTCAGGTATCTGCTTGTTTTTACACCACATCTAAATCAGTCACAAAACTCTAGTAGGAATGGATTTGAGGTGTATCAAGTTCAATAAAGTTTGGGGCATTCTGACTGCAGCTCCGTGGCGCTGTTACCTTGGAGACTGCTCACTCTCTGGCAGAAAACTCCATGTGTCAGTTGTTACTGCTGGTGAAAAGTGCTGAAAGAACGCAGACAATCTCTTCTAAGTGGAAAAGAAAAACAAAACAAAACAACACAAACATAAACAAACAAAAAAACACCAAAACCCACAAACCACGACTCCTCAACATTTTCTTTGTATTGTATGCAAGTGACATCTTACTAGACGGGTTACTGTGTACAGCCATTTCTGGAGTACAAATGACTGCTTGCTGCTCTAGGATAGAGGGGCTGAACAGCTGCTCAGCTGGAAATGTTAACCAGTTCCAGCACTTAATAGCAGGAGGTCTCAAGGAAAACATACAAATTTGCCATCAGGTTTTTCACTCTATGGTATGACATAAATAAAAGAGAAAATCAAAATAACCAAAAAGTATTTAATGTATACATTATTATCTCTTATTCAACATCAGAGTCAGACATAGGAACTAAAGACTTAATTTGTTTTCTCGCTGACCTCTGCCTCTCTAAAAGAAATTTAATGATCCTTTCCTTCCTTTGTTTCCCCACATGCTAACTGGGTATCAGAGTTCTCACTACCCCCTTGCCCACAGCTGCTAGCTGCTGTTTTTTGACAGTCTTAATTGTTCAGTATAATTAGGTTTTACTAAGAACAACTGTTTCTAACCAGCATTTGTCTTGGATTTTGCTGGGGCTCGTGATAAAGTCTGAGCTGAATAGTTTGATTTCTTTTCTAATAAGGCAAGATTTACATCTGTTAACTTCAGGTCTTCAAAAAAGAGTTTGCACACCTGAAAGCTTCTCATGGCTAAATCAGAACTAGTTATTCACCTTGGCACTCTCTGAAATGTTACTTTTCTTTTATTATAACAAGCAGAATCCTCACCGAGCAAACCCTTCTGCCATTTTGAAAAGTTAGGTTTAGTTCCTTTTAACCTTTAAAGCAACGTGTAATTCTATCAAGTTGTAACAGTTGTAGGGGGGGAGCTGCCTCTCCCCTCCTCCAGGTAGGCGCTGCTCCCAGTGAATTCCACCTTGTTTTACTTTCTTCCCCTTTCTCTCACATAGTACGTGATGGCATTGTGCATTCAGAAGACAGAGCTCACTCATCTATCAGTAGCCATCGGTAAGCGTGGTAGAAGGGCAATTAACATTTTAATTCCCATTTCTAGTAGTGACAACCATTCACAGCAAAGGGACAGTTTCTCACAACTGTGATTTCTTTCTCTCTCCCCATACATATATAAATACCACTCATCCAAATCAATGCCATGTTTTAATACACTTATTTTTAATGAAGATTTATGAAAGGATGTGAAAGAAGACTAGGCCCAGAACAATGTTATTTATCAGAGTATTTAGTTTCTTGATGCTTTATTGAATCAGTACGTTAGTACGTAACTGTTTAACTTTAAAACCTGATAAATAGAAACGTATTTTAGAACTATTTTACAAGAGGTACAGCCTAATTTACAAAAAGCATTTGGCACAAATTCTGGTTAGAAAATTACTTTAAATTGCAAATAATATGCTGTTTGCCCTAAAGCTTTATACAGTTCCTATTAACACTGAGTTAGTTTTCTCACGAATGTCTTTTTGAAACTGTCACAAATCTGATGGATGAGGAATGAGGGCAGAGTCCTGCCAAGATTATAACATTTATTCCTTCAGCTAAATTTAAAAATGTGAAAGAGGTCTTTTTCTTACGCATTTTATTTTATAGCACTGCACCAGACGGTTGCTTTTCCTTTCCTTCTACTTTATTTTAGGTAGCTCTAACACAGAAGCCCTTGATGTTTTTAAACTTCTGTTTCGTTGGAATGCTAGCAAGCCCCAGCATATATATTCCTGGAGTGGGCTATTACCGCGGTTGTAATATACTTTTAATAGAAGCATAAGCTTTTTTTGTCAGTGTAAAGTTTACTATGGCCTGGAGGGGGAAAAGAGGGTATGTAATATTTCTGCACTCTGACAAGTTGATATGTAGGTAGTGGAAATACTTTAAAAGGAAGCAGACATCCTTTGAAGTTTAGACAAAGGTCTCTGTAGAAAACCTAGACATAATGTGATTGTAAATCTAATTATAGTAAGCTGTTTAGAAAGACTTTATTTCGGTCAATCAGTCCATTTTATTTTGAGTTTCATTTTATGAATTAGCTGCAATGCCTGTTCAGTAAGATCCTCCTGACAAGGCATCCTAGTGCCTAAAGGGTCTTTTTTCTTGAGTGGTGCCATTCGCTCTCGTTCAGCTTTCTGCCTTAAAAGAGTAGGAATTTTTTTTAATTATAAGATTACAAAATCTGATATTGCAAGAATAAGCACTTGGGGGAACAGGATATTAATTGTATAGAAAACATACAGAATTGCTTCATTTTTTTTGTAAACCACTTTGAGACACACGTGCCACGTGATTTTAACATGAAGATAGGCAATGAATATGAGAAAATGGATCCTGAAGCACGTTCTGTCTTCACTTAGATGAGTACGAATATCAGCAATTTCACTTATATAAATTGAATTAAATCCACTTTAAACCAATATTGCTGAGTGCAGAGTGATGTAAAGTGCACATAACGAATTGTATCTCTTCGCTTGGTTTTCCCCTCATTACCTCCAGAACTATTACTTTCTGCTCCAAGTCTCACTCTAAAAACCGGGACCCCTTGGGACAGAGCCGTACCTTTAATCACTGAGCGAAACGTTTTTTTTTCTGTCAATCCAGCTAACCCCCAGAGGGAAGGCGCAGATGGGGACGGCTGAAAATAAGTAACACTGCAGAGGGTTGGTGGAAGAAGAAGTGAATGTCAGGAAATAGAAGGGAAGAAAGGACGGGAAGGAGGGAAGGGCCAGTGAATTCCACCTTGTTTTACTTTCTTCCCCTTTCTCTCACATAGTACTTGGTGGCATTGTGCATTCAGAAGACAGAGCTCACTCATCTATCAGTAGCCATCGGTAAGCGTGGTAGAAGGGCAATTAACATTTTAATGTGAAGGGTCCTGCCCTGCAGTATTGCGGCCTTTTGGTGCTCCGCTGTTACAGAACGTTCTCCTGTCTGCTTTTTAGGCAGACGTTTTAAATGAACCCTGAAATGGCAGTATATCCTCCGCGCATCTGTGCAGCAGCAACTGAAGAGGTGTGGTGGTTTTGGTGCTTCTGAAAGTGGCTGCTGCCCCAACAACCTCGAAACCAAAGTTTTCTTTCCACAAGGATGTGAAGCACAAAGAACTTCCTTTCGTCACACCGCTGGTGTCTCAGTCCTCTCCGGAGGGCTCAGAAAGATCGGAGACCGTCCCCTCTCAATCACTGCTGAGTTTTATTTCTCTGCAAACATCGTCAGAAAATACCTGAATTGATGGTAGCTTCTCTGAAAGTCTTAGAGCATTTTTCAGTATTGGAACCAAACGGGCATCAGACATCAAACTGTAAAATCTTTGGTCATACATGAACTGACCTAGACATTAACTGGAAGTTTCCCAGGGAGGCTAACGATTTTTATATCACATTACCTTTTGAATATTTATTCATTCTGAAAATAAATTACATTGAGTGCAGCAGTGTAGAACAAGATAAGATTTTTACTTTATCTAGATTTAAATATTTAAAAGAGTCCTTTCTTTAGGCTGTTTGTACTTGGCTTTGAATTCCAGCTTATTCTGAGAATCCTAAAAGGCATCAATTTATCAAGCTCACGTCCTTCTAATTTACAACCCAGCTGCTCTGAGCTGCTAACTAGCTTTTAAGTCAAGAAACTCTGGACTGCCAATGCCAATTA